AAAACTAATTGCACAGTTTGGTGGGAAATTGCGAGACGAACGTTTTGAGCCTAATTAGTCCATGTTTGAACACTATTTGCTAAATAAAAACGAATGTGCTACAGTAGCCCCAAAATCCAAATTTCGCGAACTAAACAAGGGCTTACATTACATCACATTCGATCTACCGATTTGTCTGCTGACAACTTCCATTGCATGCGCAAGTTTAGCTGTTCTGTGAGTGTATAAGCTGTTATTAGGAAAATATGCAGAATTTGCGTTGCTGCTTGACGAGCAGTTGCAAACAACTTACAATTCTGAAAAAAAGAGCATAAATTGATTGCTTGGATGTGCCAAATTGATGCTGTTGTGGAAGACTTGATCATAATCATGCTGTACTTGTACTGAGCAACAGCACAGCAGCAGCCTGAAATTTTCACTGATAGTCTAATCTACAATCTTTCTCCCCTGCAGATGGGACAGCTTAAGAAAGACCAGTTCATCCGGTTCCTCCGCAGTTACGTCGGCGACAAAGTGCTCACCACCGTGGCCAAGAAACTCCGAGGATGCTAAATTTCTAGTGCGCGGCGCAACATTATTATCTCCTTGATTTTGCCGTCTTGGTGGTGGTATACACGGTGGCTCTGACTCCAGCGACTCAAGCAGTGTACGTGCTAGCTGTCTGTAGTAGTACCAAATAGAGATGAGGAGGTTTACTTTTGTTTCTGTTGATTCAAGTTTCTGTCATATGCATATAGAGGGTTTGCAGCGATGTCCTTCCATTAACCAACACAAAGGATAGATGCAGTTTCTGTTCCTGAGACGTTTTAAATCTTCTTTTTAGTGTCCTGCAACCTGTGATAATCTGTACAGACTGAAAAGATTTATGCATAAATGGAACCATTGTTGAGCCGACCAATCGCTCCTAAGTTTTGCCGTTCAGAGTTCTGGAGCTTGTCAGGGAGAAGAACATTCTCCCCGTTTCTTAGTTTTTCTAAGTTTAGCTTCTCTTCGACTTCTGTAACGTTGATAGAGTTTATAAAAAAAGCACAAATCTACAACGAAACTAAACCATGAAATGTATTCTGATGACCATCTATTTGATACTATAAATTTTGGAGAAAAAAAATCTACAAAAATGGTTAAAGTAAGATAAGCTTTTATTTGCAAAAAAAGTAAGATAAGTTTCATGTTAGAAACTGGATACTGTATAGAGTATTTGTGTAGGAGGTAGGAGGTGATAAATGATTACCAAACAAGGACCTCTAACTCTTGAGTCGTACGGAATCTTACAAAAATCGAAATTTAAGCAAGTCATGAAGCTGGGAGGTGATCAACGATTACCCGGGAATGTGTTAGTAAAAAAAAATGATTACCCGGGAATGCTAGCCACACGCTTGTACTCTACCACTTTACCGGTCCTGTTCTGCTTCGCTGCCTGTAGCAGTGCTCCGATCAGCTTTTTTTTATGATTAAAATACTGTTGCGAAAAAAAAAATACTATTCATTGTTCCAAAAACCAAGCTTATAAGCCTATAAGCCGTACGAACGGGACGGGCTCGTAGATCGCGAGGTGCAGGACCGAACAGATGGCGCAGGTCGGTACAGCTCGTGAAGCGTGCGCGCTTCCACCGCCACACGTGTCCCCGCCTCGTGGCCTAGCAAACGGACGACACGGATCTATGGTCTATGGACGGCTGAGGCACGAGGGCAAAATACGACAAGGAATCTCTGAGGCCGTACTGTTGACGTGAAAACAGTGCAACGAAACGTGGAATAGCTACGGACTCACGACTACGGACTACGGTCCATGGACTGCACATGCACTAGAGTTTGGACGGTTTTTGCTAGCACTGGATGTTTTTCATTTTCTTCAACTGATGTCTTCTACCGAGCGGTAGCATTAACAATTTCATGTTAGTTTAGTCCTGATTTCAATCGAAGAAAGTAACGTGTTACTAGTGTTTCTTTCTTCGAAAATACTGTAGTGCGTTAGTGGTTAACCAGGCATAATGTAGTGACAAAGTTTCATTTGGCAAACAGAAAATAAACTTAGCTTAAATGATTAGATGGAAGGTTTTGATCAGCGCAGCACTGGACCATTCAGGTTTGAGTGCGTCATGGTCGTCTCCAACTATATTTCTTGTTAATATAAAAAAACGCCTAGTCATTTCTCTTCTCTATGTCTCTAAATATCTATCGTTTTCGTTTTCCAAGAAACAACTTTGATTAAATATATATTAAAAATATAAATATTTATGTTACATAATTAGTATCACTGGAAAGATCTTTGAATCTAGTTTTTTAATAAGTTTATTTGGAGATAAAATGTTGCACGTATTTTCTACAAATCGAGTTAAACTTGTGGCACGCACACCAACAGCGACAGTTATTTAGGGACGGAGAGAGTAGGTTATTAGCCACATTTTAGAAGCTATACCCAAATCACCTTGTTCATATTAATTGTACACTCTTCTCGCTGATTGTTCTTTCATGCTTGTGTAAAACTTCTATATTCTACAACAAGCGAGGTAGATGAAATGTGCTTCTGTATCTATGCTAATCTTCCTATAGGATCTCTACGACTTAGGTTTTCTTTGTATACCACGTTATTATGCACCCGGTTTGTTGTGGACCAGTCATTTTTATGTTATTTCCTGTAAGAGTAGAGACACAATAGTTGTTGTTATTCATAGCAAATGTTAATAAGTCATATTATTGTATATAGCGTGATGGCGACAACTGATTTATAGTGTTAGCGAGTCACGGAAACATGAGCTCCATATACATAACTTATATCTACAAGACTAATGAATATTGTTGATCAAGATCCGGACGAGTATAGGACTCGGGTTGGGGCACTCCCGACCAAGTGTGCCAACCAGGCACCTTGGGCGCGAGCAGATCTGCTTGTCAAGAATGTACCCTAGAGGAGTCAGGCACATTGCCCACAGGGGGTTGCTCACCCTAGTGCATCAGGCAGAGCTCTTTGTCGGTGTCAAAGGAATAGGCTCCACTTAATCTTCTGAAGCAGGCCAGGTGTAGGTCTATCCTATCCACGAGATCAATTAGGATCGTTGACCAATATTTGGTCAAGTAGCGGACGAAGGTTGGGTGCCCCTCTTCCCAACAAGACTAGGCACCATGGGGAGTCGAACGAACATGCTTGGTGGGCACCTCCTCCGAGTGCCCCTGACGACTGACCAAGACATTGACGCTAGAGAACACCAACTACATTGCCCTACAAGGGCTGCTCACCATGGTGTGCTACGCAGAGCTATCAAGCAATCGTGCTCGCCGCACACCGTGTGGATAGTGGCCCCGCGTCTGTCTGCCTCACAGAGCGGACGCGCGACCAGTATTATTTACTATGAGGGGACTGAAGAGGTAGGTGTTCTATATATGATCACATGCCCCGTTTTGTCGCCGCCCATTGTCTTACCTCTACGTAATGTCGCATCCTTACAATCGTGTTAAGGATGTGATGCAGCAGGCTATCTTTGTTCTATAGATATGACTGATTTGGCAGCGCTGTATGATCACGGTTGCAAATTCGTGGTGTGTGTTTACTTATGTACGGGGTTGGGGATGGGGGTTGGATGTAGGAGGCTAGACCCAATGCCTTGTAGGGTGATTCTCTCCCCTAGATGCTTTTTGAGCTAAGAACAAGGACATCCAAACCTCGCCTCACCCAAGATATAGGGTTTTACCCAAAACAACATGAACCTAATAAATCTCTCGCGTACTCAGAAGATTGATCGAGAACTCACTTTTCGAATTCCTTTACCGAACATTAAGCTAGCATTAACTAGTATGCCAGTGTTTGCCTGCCGACATAGAGATTTCATAATTTTTAGGGTGAGACTATCTCATCATCGATGTGTTTCAAGAGTATTTCTTCCTAAATTCCACCTCTCTTTCTATCTTCTATTGGTAGTACATCACTTTGTTTTCATCTTTGCTGCCCCACTGTTCTTGTTATCTTTCAGAAAAATCCAGAGGTCCTCTATAAAACAAAATGACTTATTTATATGCCTGTTTTTAAAAATTGAATTGATTCTGTAAAATTATTGTATGATTCATGTAAAATTATTATGTTTCAAACTAGTCCTAACTTGTTAGGCTCTGTTTGAAACACAACTGGGTTATTATTTTCTAGATTATAGATAGAATTATTATAATTTAGATTATAAACTATAATCATCGAAGTGTTTGGATTTCTAGATTATTATGGTGGATTAAGTCAAGCGAAATTTCTCATAATCACGAAACAATACCCGAAGTGAATTGTAGAATTATTGTAATCTATTGTTCCGATTATAATAATCAACCTCATAATCTTAGTTTGTTTGTATTATAATTAGATTAATTTAGTCGATTATTATAATTATAGTGGATCCAAGCATATTCTTAATCAACATCGTATGTATTTGGATTATCCACTATTCATTAGACGATGACATCAATAATTTCCTTAACTCTTCATGGCTAGATCACGGTGAGATATAAAATATTATGTATGGTATGGTGTATGATCAATTCTATCTACTGGTTTTTCGTCTAATTTGGGCAGAATATAACTTTTTACATAAAAGGGAATTGTAGGTTTTATTATAGGGCTACACAACGATGCTCGATGCAGAGGAGAGTAACCCGGATGTAGTGAGTCGTGACCACCATACAGGGCCGTATGCAGAGATGCGGCAGGTGAATTGTAGGCGCAGCACAAACCATCTCTCCGTCGTCTACAAATACCCGCCCGCTCTCTTCTTCCTCCCCCTTCCACTCGCCTCGCCAATCGCCATTATTAAGAGCTCCCCGGAGGCAAAAATTTGCCCCCAAAATCCTCGCTCGTATTCGTCCCACCCTTGTTTGCCCCCCACCTCAGTTAGTTCTCCTTCCTATCGCACGCCCGCGCAAAGCATCAACTCTGCTCCACCCACCCTCTGTGCAGACTTAACCTTGAGGTTCCCGATTGTCCTTCGGCTCCTTGCCATTTGCAACGAGATTTAGCGGCAAGGATGCGTCTGCATGCTGAGGTGCGGGATGATATGGAGGAGAGCGAGGAGTGGGCTGTGATGTCTTCGGCGGCGTTGTCGCCAATCATCGGCGCCGCGGCGCCGGCTCCCCGGCTAGTGGTGGGCTACGCCCTCACGAAGAAGAAGGTGAAGAGCTTCCTCCAGCCCAAGCTGCTCCTGCTGGCGAGGTAAAAGCCTGGATCATCGCTGCTCAGAAAGAGGGATTGATTTGATGTTTTGCCAGATGCCGAGTGGCGATGGATTTTGAGGGGAATGGGATATTTTTTTTTCGTTAGTATCTGTTGGCAGGGTGGCGAGCAATTCCACGATTGCTCTTTTCTCTCTCTTTTATCAATAGCCCAAAGAGTTTGGAAGATGTTGGCCTTAGAGGAAAATTGTGTATAATTCGAGGGACGAGGAAGGTTCATGGTTGGAGACGCGATTTCTTTTGCGTTCTGATTAGATGCTGCCCAGTTCCTGGTGGTCAGAAGAATTTTGCATGAACAGGCTAATGTGATACCATGGATAGTATTCTTGTGTTGGAAGGATTATAATTTCCACGGTATGGGGTAGAGGGGAATGCTATTCTATTCCTTGCTGCACTAGTCAAATAGTGATCGAATCGGGCCTCCATTGGAGCGCAAAGTTGGCGGGAGCGGCTAGTGAGAATGGCTTCTGAGTGAAGCATGCTGGATTAATGATTTAGTACTCGGAGGTGCGTGGCAAGTGTTTATTTGGAATTCCAATGGCATCGGTAGATATGCCCTATATGTGTATCCTATGTTGACAGTTCCACTGCATGAGGGGGTCTCAATAGTCAATAGCTTTATACTATGGTGCCAAGTTGGCGGAATGGGCCTAGGCTGCAAATCCTTGTTGATGGTATCTGGGATTCTAGTTTGGAATATTCCTTTGGGTAAGCACATCACATGGAAAATGACAACTTTTTGATGGCAGTGTCTCTGCTGTGTTCATTTGTACTTTACTTACTCAGTCGCTAGATTTGATGGCAACATGGGTTGCCAGCCAACAATCTCTTCTTGTTAGTTGTCTGGATTAAGAGCCAAGCTGAATCTGTCGTTTGCTTGTTACCTCATTTGGATAAGCAACGCATGTGAACTAATAAGGAACAGCAAAATTAACAAGGAGAATGTTTTATGCAAAATAAAGCGTTTTTGCTCGAACTAATTATATTTTTTTTTATTGTTTGTGTTTCTGCTTTTCAAGACTGTAAGTAACTTAAAAGTAAATGCCTCGAATTCTCATATGATGCGATTTACCCTTGTAAAATGCATCACAGGGTATGGACATAAGAAAGGTTGTGGGAAAAGTAAAATTAAACAATTTTTGACAAGGCAAATATTTTTCTGCAAATTGAGCAGTTTTCCTTGACAGCTTCTGTATCCTGAAACCAGTTGAGTTTCTCCCCTTGTAGTCCTCTCTGCATCTCAAACAATAAATGTCCTGATACCATGCAGTTCACTTACAGTATAACATTTCTTTCCTTACCCCTGTAGATATACCCAAGTACCATCCCATTTATGTTTCTAGTTTGAGTATTATCTCGTTGCTCAAGCATATTGCTAATTATAAACTGAGGGCATGTTATATGAATATTTTGTGTACTTTGATGGTATATGGATACTGCTATCACTAGCTCTGCATGTTGAATTGAATATTGTGGCTCTTGCCAAGCTTTTGTTTTTTCCTTTGTGCTTCTTGATGAGTTTCTTGTCATGTGCTTTTGTCAGGAAGAATGGAATCAGTTTTGTATCTATTGATGAGTCTCTTCCCCTCTCAGAACAAGGCCCTTTTGATGTTATTTTACACAAGGTCAGTCACATCCTATTTTAATCTGCAATAATAAGAATGCAGCAGCATAGGACCTAGTCACCTAGATCAAGTTTTGTGGGAGAATCACTCACTTCTTGTGAACTTGCTGATCCTTGAGTGAGGTGAATTCTGCTTAATGTTTCCAAGAAAAGGTCATCATAGTTTTATGCAGCCTCTGTTATCCATCGTACTGAAAGAGTTCTCGGTTCCTTATGCAGATTACTAGGAAGGAGTGGCAGCAGGTTCTGGAGGTAAGATTGTGCCATATACTCACTTCTCATGTTTTTTCTATTTTTCCTTCAAACTGTTCACTGCCACACTTTTGGAAAGTTGCTGCCAGTATTCTTTTTTGCAATGCTGAAAAATAGTATGCTCAAATCAATCGATTACAATCTTATCGTAGTCATAATGCTTTTCTGTAGTTTCCAAGTCAATGTTACCACTTTCCATTGCATTGCTTGCTTAGTTTCTTCCATTTTCTGAAGGACTATCATGAAGAACATCCAGAAGTTACTGTCCTTGACCCACCAAATGCTATCAAGCATCTGAACAATCGACAATCGATGCTTGAAGAAGTAGCTGATTTGAACCTGTCAAATTTCTATGGTAATGAGGCTGTTCGTTTATTTTTTTAATGTTTACATCGTTTAAGTTACCTTCCATTTGATCTTAAAATGCTGACACATTGAAATATCATGTTCCCACCAAATTATGATACAACTAAAGTCGTAGGAAGGAAAATAGTTTTGCGACTTTTGCCCATACTAGGCACACAAATGTTTGCCATATAGACTTTTCTGTTTTACTCCATTCACCGTGAACCACAGAATTTTCCAATTAAGGGTTGTTATGCCAGTTCTTTCTTTGACAATATGAATTGTGATGATACCATATAAACTAATAGATATCGAAAAACAGAAGGTCTTGCTTGAGTTTGTTGGAGACTTGTTTTACTGTTGGCAGATTTCAAATTGACAGATAAATTTTCTTGATTGATAGCAAAAGTAGTATATTGCTATTAGTAAAAGGAAGACTGCTCAAAGTGCACCTTTAACTTCAATTTGTGAAGGACGTACTATGTTTGCATTAAACATGTGATTGTAAGTGCATTGAAATATTGCAGGTGAAGTTTGTACCCCACGCCAACTGGTCATTTCGGAGGACCCATCCTCTATACCAACTGCTGTAGCTATGGCTGGACTGACATTGCCCTTGGGTAATTGATTCCAATCTTCAAGCTATCAATTATTTGGATAAAGAACATTGGAAAGTGCTTGTGAGCAATCGTTTGAAATAATCAGGTCCACTCAATTTAGTCTATCTTCTTGGGACTTATTTATTTATGTTTACTTGATTAGATTATTTGAATTATATATATCTTTTCTATCCTTCTGTTGGTAGATTGGTTCTCTCCTTGCTAAGGCCACAGAATTACTTCCCAGCAAGCTCCATCATTGTTGTTTGTGTGCTTGCTTAACTAGCTTTTGAGCTTTGCTCATATTTTACAGTCCTATTGAAATGCACCTTTGTTTTCATCGCTGCTCAAGGCAGAATTCCAGAAATTGGAAACATTTGAGCGGATTGGCTCGTGTTTCTCGCGGCATTTTTTTTTATTTAAAATATTGGCTTTGCGACTACTTATCCAGCAATCCACGTGTCTGAACCATGGACTAGGCTTTAGTTCCTCAAGTTATATATTACTATCATTAATGGCTCTTAAATTTTTATGCAAGTTGTTTCCCTTCTTCTGTGGCTCATATTGGGTTTCATCTCTAGCCTACTCCAGCTTGCTTGGGACTGAAATGCTTTGTTGTTATTGTGGCTTTGAAACCATCTTTTGAAATTTGGTACTTCAGTTTTGTACACTACAACCTAGGTGCAATTAGAAGCAATATGCCACAGAAGTCCCTCAAAGTAAATTTACTTCTGTCAGCCCTTCTACTCTTCCTTTCATGAGCTTTAAAAGCTGTTGGGTTCACCCATTACCATTCTCAGTAATCACATTTGTTCTAGTTAATGAATATTTGGTGCCTATTTGTCAGCGGTAGGTTTCAACTTATTCTGCTGCTGGAGCTTTGCACTTAAGCTGTTTCTATACTCAAATAATTCACACGTCACTTTTTTCTTTTGCTATATGGGGAGCTAGTAAATGGAGATTGCTTGACTGGAAGTACTTATCCTCTTGCAGTTGCCAAGCCATTGGTTGTTGATGGAACATCTAAAGGTCACGAACTGTATCTTGCATATGATGTGGCATCCTTGTCAATGCTTGATCCGCCTCTCGTTCTACAGGAATTCATAAACCATGGTATGTTCTGATTTTCTGTTTTCATCTATATTGTTTGTTTTTTTCCTATCTCCTGACACTTTGCCCTGAAACAGTAGAAATGTGGGATCTGATTTATTGCCTCTACAGGCGGGATCCTCTTTAAGGTGTATATCATTGGTGAAACAGTACAGGTTGTCCGCAGGTTCTCTCTTCCTGATGTTAACACATATGACTTACTAAACAACGTTGGCGTCTATCGATTGCCAAGAGTTTCATGTGCTGCAGCTAGTGCGGATGATGCAGATCTTGACCCTCTTATTGCAGGTGAGAACTGTGCAGTGTTGCTGTCAATCTCACCATTTGTTAAAAATTTGTGTATCTTTTCCATTAATCCAAGTGATCCCTTAATTAAACATGCAATTTGTCCTGAGAATTGTCAATGCAAATGAGTTGAAGTGTCATATCTGATATCTCCATTAGTCATGATTATGAAGTTTAGGGCAAAATTTGTTCAATGAGAAAATAGATGACCTATAAATCATAATGTGATTTGCTCGTTACACATTGCCAAGTGCACCTAGTGATCTTTTGTTACATCACTAAACATAGATTTCTCATACATGATAGAGCTTCCTCCAAGGCCACTCCTAGAGAAACTGGGCAGGGAGCTTCGTGTCCGGCTGGTATGTGTAATTCTAGTTCTGAACTGCACATATCTGTTTCATGTTAGCTTGGCTGACATGGCAAAAGTTCAAACCTGCAGGGTTTGAGATTGTTCAATATAGATATGATTAGAGAACTTGGAACCAAAGATCGGTACTACATAATTGATATCAACTACTTCCCAGGTGCGTGGTTATTTTGTTATCTTGTCATTCATACCTTGGGTTTGTCCTCTTCGTTTCTGTTCTCTTTGTCCATGCAGAACTTGTTGGGCCAAACTTTGGTCCCAGCCAAGTGTGAGGAGTATCCTAGCTACAATTCTCTAGCCTTCTAGGCCATCTCTGACTGTTCAAGAATCCAGTAGGATCTCTTCATGACCAAATATCGATTTTGTTGGGACAGAAATAGCCTAGCTACTCTACTTATGTTTAGTTCATCCCGAGAGCCAATTCTTTGCCATAAAGGGAAGTTTTTTATGTTGTGGGAGTTAAGCACATGATTGTGACCACTTATCTAATGTCTTGGATACCATTTGCGCTTCCTTTTGCCATTGCTGAAAATATTGTGGACACAATTTGCACTTTAAGCTATAATGCAGAACGGTGCTTCATTGTCTAAGAAGAATATTGTATCAGATAAAATATTCTCCTAACAGTATCTTCTTGACCAATTTAACTGCGCAGTTTACAATGATTTCCTTACAATAGCATCTCCTAACAGTGTCTTCTTGACGCAATTTAACTGTGCAGGTTACGGTAAAATGCCAGGATATGAGCGCATGTTCACAGACTTCTTACTAAGTCTCGCACAAAGCAAGTACAAAAGGTACTTAAGCGGGACCTGAGGTTTAAGGAAGTTTGTGAAGACTGTATCACTGACAAAATGGCATATAACGGTAGCAGCTATGCTTCCCCAGTCCCCACCAATGTACATTTGCTGGAGACATAAGCATATAGCCGGAGGCTTGAGGAAGTCGGCCAGTCCCAGTGTATGTGTTCAAAAGCGGTGGCACATGCTGGACTGGAGTAGGAAATAACCAAGGAAATGCTTGGATGCCCTGCGACCATGTTGTAAAATGTTTAACTGAATGAATGCCTTCCATCATAATTTGGCAACCGTTTTCTTGAGCCAGAGAAATAATTCTGCAGCTTGGTGGTCATGGGGGGTTTTGTTGGGTTAGTTTGGCCGAGTTCGAGGTCTATGGAAATCAGGAGACCACCAAATAGCTGTTGATGATCGGATCATTCTCAAGTGACACTGCCATCAGGAGTTTGAGCTGGAGCTCTGTAAATTGAAAAATGGCAGTCTTCGGCTACGCCTGGTTTACTTGCCATTGCCAGTGCGTGGCTACGGGTACCCTGTTCTGTTGCACTTATTTTCGGTCTGCGACAGAAATGTGATCGTCTTTTACTCCTGGTGCCTCATTGCAGAAACGAGCAGACTTTGAGAGCTCCATTTCTTCTGCTTTTTTTTCAAGAGCAGGCGAGGCCACCACATCGTCGCCAACTTTTAGGATTAGCCTATAAATAAAGAAAAGAATTAAATGCATCATTGGTCTATTAACTTTTAACCATGATTCATTTAGGTCCATCAACTACGAAAGTGGTTTTTTAGGTCCATAAACTTTTGAAGTGATGCATCTTTAGTCCATACCTCTTCGTTTATCTTTTTAATCTGATGTGGCAGTCCACGGTGTCGCTGATCTGTCTTCTGGAGGTAGTCCACAGTCAGCACAAGCAGCGGCGCCGCGTCCAGCTGCTCCACAGGGGCGGCGGCGATACCTGGCCACGCGTGAGCTCGCCAAGGTGCACTATATCCAGCCGCTCACCATCGTGCAACTTGATCATATGTAGATTCATAGTCCAGCCTCCAGTGGATGCAAGGCCAAACCAAGACCAAGGCCCTGGTGGGCAACCTCAAGGAGGTGCAGTGGATGGGGCCATGGAGGAGGCCTTCGCGGTGAAGCACCTCGTTGGCGCCGACGACGTGGGCGCCGAGGTCAAGCTACTCACCTCGGTGGCGTACCAGAACCGTCCAAAGTGCTTGTCAGGACACGGCACGCAGACGTGCACCTCCACGTCAAGGTCACCGGGTTCGGCCAGCCAGCGCCACCGTCGCCACCAACCCTTGCATCTGGTACGCACCGGAGGTGTGGAGCAGGAGGCGGCCAAGTGCACCGAGGAGACGGACGTGTACAGCTTTGAGATGCTGACAGGGAATTCCCGATCGAGGACCACCACCTGCGGGGGGAGCACATGAGCAAGAACATCTGGCCGGCGAGCGGCCGCTGTTCCCGTTCAAGGCACCCAAGTACCGCGGTGCTTGCTGGCACAGGGACCCGGCGCAGCGGCCGGCGTTCGTGTCCGTCTACCTCGTCCTCCGCTAGGTGCTAGGTGAAGCGGTTCGTGGTCATGAACCCTGCCCCCGCGGAGCAGCTGGACACGGCACCGCCGCCTGTGGACTACCTCGACTACCTCCAAAGACAGATCAACGCCACCATGGACAGCCACGTCGGATTAAAAAGAAACGAAGACTTTCATAGTGGATGGACCTAAATGAAACATGGGTAAAAATTAATGGACCATTGATGCATTTAACTCTAAAGAAAATGTGGTTTGAAAAAAATGAGACAATGAACAAACTGTCGGCAATCAGTTTACTCGGTCATTCAAACACTAGTTTTCAAAGAATGAAGTACAATCAGATAACCAATAAGCACAGCAATTTATCATAAGATTTCACATTGTCGCTCAAAACTTTAATGTGATCTATAAAATTGAGGATCAAATATACTCGAGGGGCAAATCGACAGTACAGTATTGCTTAAAAACAGAAACTGGTTCTCCCCTCCCAAAACCCATTTTAACACCGACCCTTCTCTTCATATAGGTCAAGCCAACAAAAACTCAGTATCAACACAGCATGCTCTGCATTATAAGTTGTAACCGGTGCACTCTACTCCTGCAACCAATTATTTAACAAGTCTCATGCCATGATGTAGTGGTAGCTTCAAAGTAGCTTCTCATTTGCACGCCCTGGAACGATTATGCGCCGTATAGCTCTCCAAGAAGATTCTGAACAAGGAAAAAAGGTCAGTAAACATATAGGTAGTTCTGTGCACGAAAAATACACAGATATATGACAACCTGTACTTCCTCATTAGTCATCGAGGTAGTAGTAGGACCCGGCTGACTTCTGTTCCCTGTCCTTTGTAGAGTCCAACTTGTTTATACGTGGCCTATAGTTGGTCGGGTCTCTTCTAAAAGTAATGTCAAGATGCTACCAAATGCATGGCAAATGAAAAAGTTAGTGCAGGGAAATAGATAAACCAATAATGAAGAAATCAAAGCAAATGCACAGATACAGAAAAGAGTTTTTATGTGCGAATCTATAGAGTTCTCGACTCCTGAAAATTAATGTTAATCATCAAGGCGTTAGTAAGGTCTTGAAGAGCCTGATCTGTTAAGAGTCCTATACGTTTATACACAGCCTATAGTTGGTTGGGTCTCTTTTGAAAGTGCCAAAGAGACGCTACCCAAAAACTAGAGCATGAAATTCTAGGTTGATACTCTAGGAACCAATGTAAGGGGTATTATCTAGACTCCAGGTCAATAAAAGTTGGAAGTGCAAATATAGTATTATTTAAAATGACTGAAGATTAATCTATGAGAACTGCGTACAACTGGACCAACAAAGAGCATACTATGTTTTTGGTAACAGTCCATATTTTGTTATCTTGCACTTACCGATAAGAATTTATTCATCCCAGATACTAAAGACTGTGGTGCATTGGCAGTACAGTCAATAGAAGCTTGCCCCTCATAAACAATGACCTTGTCAGCCAAGTATGTTGCCATGATGAAATCATGCTCAACAATAAATGCAGTTTTCTTCGCGTGAAGAATGAATCTCTTGATAACCTTTGAGGCAACAATACGCTGCTCCGAATCAAGATACGCGCTTGGTTCATCAATCAGATAGATATCTGCAGGCTGAACATACACCGCGTTGTAAGTATGCAGAAGCTGACAATCAATCCAAATAATATAGGGCTAGTGGTATGTACAGGCTCAGCGCCATTAAAAAATTAGGTATATATGGCTTCACGCATCATCATTAACTGGATATCATAGTATTCAAGAGGCGCAAAAATGAAAAGTAGCAGAAATAAAAGGTATTATGCTTGATATATATGGACTATAATATACTGTCAGCCAACCAAGCTCTGCATCATCACAACTTGCAACGCACTCAACACTCTCTATTTGCCATGCATGGACAGGGGTCAATATGCATGCTCGAGTCAAAGTACATCGATACACAAAATGAGTACATCTATACAATTATAGAAGGTTAAAAAAATGCACCGTCTATTGAATTGGACCACTCAAAAAACAATATATGATTGGTTTTGTAGAAACACAGACATTGAGACATGGATAAAAAAAGAAGATAGAAGGCTGATTCCAGCCCCGCTATGTTGTAAATGACACTTAGGCAAGTAGTTGCGTCACATGTGACCCCACATACTTCTGTATCAGGAAAATCCATAATGACTCCCTCGGATCAAAGTACAAGTCATTTAGGATTTGTATCAGTCAAACATCTTGAGCTTTGATGATAAAGATGTAACAAAATACGTAGTTTAAAAACATAAGATTAATGTTTACTAGAATCATTAAGAAAATACTCTCATTTCATAATATATAACCAATTTCATCTAAAATTGATATCTTGTAGGTAATCAATGTCCTAAACGACTTCAACTTTCAATCAGGTACAAATAATAAAAAAGGAGTAGGAAAACATTTGTGTAGTTGAAATGCAAGGAATATATCCTAGATGCAAAGTTGTGAAACTACTAGAACACATCTATTTTATTCCTGTAACATTATATTAGGCCAATCAAGGAAAGCATCAAGTAGACAAAGCAATGTATTAAACAGAACAACAATATTACCTTTCCAAGGCAGAGGCATATGGCAACTCTTTGGAGCTCTCCACCTGATAAATTAACAACCTCCTGGTCCATGAGTTGTTCAATTTGCAGTGGTTTCATTACATCAGACACAAACTGAGGGTGCATATAGGAATCCCGAATTTTCTGATGCAGCAAATGCCTCACGGTATTCTGGAATTTCGGGCTAATCTTTTGGGGCTTGTAAGACACATTGAATTCAGGAATTTCAATATCAGTTCCTTCCACTGTGTCTGGCTTCAACAACCCAGCCTGTCCAGACATAACAAATAAGGAACGTAAGATGACAAAAGTAGCACAGACCTTGTGCATTTTTTTCTAGCAATCAAAGGAATGCAGGAGTGAAGTCTTGACTAGCACAATACAATCAGAGAAAATAAAGTCTTTTGCCCCTCAACATGATCGATCTGAATAAGATTTTTGCACTCTTGTATAGCAAGCAAATATTAAACTAAGGCCAACACAAAAATAACACTACAGACCAAAATGCAATCACATAAGATTTTGCAGCACCAACAAATTCACAAATAGCAAAAAGAACAATGACGTGTTCATGTGGCAGCCAGCAGTCAAGCACAGCGGTAACCGCATCTCACTACTATAAAGCAACTAAACAGTACAAAGTCAGTGATATATGCCTGCCAAATAACAAGATTGATCTTCTGAACGAGTACAGGAGGTTGAAACAACTTCTGATATTGCAGATAAGACAACACAAGACGTTCCCAGGACTTAAAATCCTAACCATACCAGAGGGGAGGGGGTCTCGGAATGACTTTGAGCTTAAAAAAAGTTATATAAAGACGGCGGCCAGGAGGGATGGCATTACCAGCATTCTAATGAATGTAGTTTTCCCTGTCCCGTTTTCACCAAGCATAACAACAATCTGGGAATCAGTAAATTCACCCTCAACAACAGTAAGCTTGAAATTTCCCTGTGTTTTGCTCATAGTAGGGTACTTATACCGCTGATATGACTCAATCTCCTCAGCACTTTCTTGAGTCTCTGCAATCTTAAAGTACAACACCAATGTAAGGCGAACTTCCAAGATAGGATAAGGAGCTCAAGTTCCATCACAGAATAAGGATTTCAAGTAGCATGTGGATATGTTACCTTAAAGGTAAGAGATTCGTCTCGGAACCGAAGATTTTCTGTTGGAACAAATCCAGCCAAGAAAATATTGATACCCTCTCGGACCGAGAATGGCAAGGTAACCACACCATAAGCACCTGGCTTGCCATATAAACAGCAAATGAAGTCGGACAAGTAATCCAAGACACTCAGGTCATGTTCCACAACGATGACATAGCTGAAACAAACAGGCTGATGTTGACAACGAATTTCATTGAAAAAAACTATTGAAAAATCATGATAGCAAATGTCTTACCTGTTGGGCCTAAGCAAGGACCTAATGACTTGTGCGGCTTTCAGCCTCTGCTTCACATCAAGGTAACTTGATGGTTCATCGAACATGTAGATTTCTGCATTTTGCACAGCAACAACGGCTATTGCAAATCTCTGGAGCTCACCACCAGAAAGATCTCCTACATTTCGGTCAATAACTTGGTTTAATTCAAGGTTAACACACAGTTCAGCTTTCATATCCCTCTCATCCTTCTGTTCAAGTACTTGTCCTACATTCCCTTGAACAGCTTTTGGGATGTGGTCAACATACTGAGGTTTGATGATTGCCTGAGGAAATAAAGAGACAATCCAAAGGAATCAGAACAATTGAACATTTAAAAAACAAAAACTCACATGAAACTTCCCTATGTCCTGCTATCAGGTTCTTGGTATGTTATAAACAAAGGTATAGCAACAATTAAGGAACAAATGTGATGACTGTTTAAATTTATGAAGCAAACTACAAAAGTTGAGTGACAACCATTGTTATCTTTATAGTGCTGTAATCATCCATTGCTTGCAACTTTAGATGTAATACAGACATTGTTAAAATATGCACATCATTGCACGTGTTGTAGGGATTGAAAACAGGCAAGACCAAAGAGAGCATATGAAAATAGCCAGCGCATAGCAATAATCAAGTTGTAACAGTTACAGACTACATACTAACACACACTGCATGAAATACAAACAGACAAACTAAAGTGGCAAAATAGGACCTTCAGGTTATCTTCCAATATGCGTGTGAAGTAGTTCTGAAGTTCAGACCCACGGAAGTATGTAAGAATTTCCTGCCAATCGGGCGGGTTCTGCATAATTGCACAGGTAAAATGTCATCTTTTTTTAGGTCTATATATATGAAAGGAAAGAGAAGAGCCTTCCTCAAAGAGAAAAACACTAATATAGAATCAACAAACAGGAAAATGAAATTAGGTATGGAGCAGATATCGAAATATACTTTGAAGCGCCCCAAGTTAGGTTTCAGCTTGCCAGCCAACACTTTAAGAGCTGTCGACTTCCCAATTCCGTTTGTTCCAACAAGGCCCAAAACCTGACCAGGCCTCGGGACAGGCAACCTGCAGGTGGCTAGATCAGTAACGCTCCCAAAGGGGCAAGCTTCAAGTCAGATTAGTAGGAAACATACAGATGACCAACAGTGCAAAAAATTATACAAACACCCCCAGCACTAAAATGAGAAGAGTGTATGTACCTGTGCAACTTGAAGGTATTAGGCCCATATCGGTGAGTGGTATCCTTTTCCAAGTCTTTTGGAAGGTTGATGATTTCAATGGCATCAAATGGGCATTTCTGCAACCGAGATTACAGAAGTGAGAAGCACATTATATCACATAGGCACATCATACACAGTTAGCTGGAGAAGTTAGAAGCCTACCTTTACACAGATACCACAACCGATGCACAGCTCCTCAGAAATGAAAGCGAGTTTCGACGCCGGAGTCACTTCAATGCAAAGCTTCCCTAAACAGTAAAACAGAATATTGTCATAAAAGCGATCCATGCTAAGCAAGAAACTAGATGACGTGCAGATCAACAGAGGGAAGAGAACAATATACTGTATCTGTTTCAGCAAAATGGATGGTATTGTATTTGGACACTGGACCTTCACATGTTACAGTGCGAACTATACATCCAGCAACATGTGCGAGAGTTCAATTTAATAATAATTCACTAAACAAGAGTTATTAGCCAAATTTCTACAGATGAAAAATCGACGCTTCAGCTGCTAGCAGTTCCGATTCCTCGGATCTTGCAAGGGGACCAACGAATCAACAAAAGCACTTTCTAACATCGAATTCACCACGCACGAACAGGTTTCCCGATGGTAAAGGCGTCTGCTGGACAGCCAGGGCCCCCTGCCCTACCCCCGCCCCGTCCGCCGCCCACCCTATCCTGTCACGCCGTCGCCGTCGCCGCAACCCCACCCCTGTCCTGTCACGCCGCCGCCGCCCCCGCCCCCGCACCCGACCCGAACAAGGTGCGCAACGCGGGCAGGCGGTCACCGATCGCGACTCCGAGGAGGAGGCGGAGAAGAGGAGTCCCTCTTCCTCATAGAGGCGGTGGTAGGGAGCGAGATCTAAACCTAAAGTCCGAATCGCCGAAGCTACGGGGCAAAGGGATTTTACCGGTCTTGACGACGGGGCAGCTCTTCTTGCACTCCTGGCGGCACTTCTTGGGCTTGCACTTGTCCTCGCTGACGATGGCGATACGGGTCAGCCGCTCCGCCATCTCTTCTTGCGCCGCCGCCGAAGGAAGAGGCTCCGAAGAGGAGTGGGCGATGGAGCCAAAAGCGTGGCGGCGGCGGTGGGGAGGCGGGGGTGTATCCCTTTGGAAGTGTGGCGGACACGTGCTCGCGGCAGAGGGGCAGACCAAACCCTAGGCTCGGGACCCGGTTTCGTGTCCTCAACCGGTTCTCCTCTCTACTCGGTTACTCCTATTTCCTTTTTTTTTTTTTTTGACAAATACTCCTATTTCCCTTTCTTTAGTTTAGTTTAGTTTAGTTTAGTTTCCTTTTCTTTTCTTTGTCTTGGTATAATAATGGATTGGAGTTTTAAAAAATAACAATGGATTGGAATTCCCTCGGGATCTATTCTTAGATTCTTATCATCTCTCGCTCTCCAAATTCCTTTCTTCATCCAAAAATGACATGCCAGACTTTGGATTCGCCTCTAGAACAAATGAGTCGGCATAGCACTTAGCTTTCAGGACTTTGCCACATAGGGATTGTGAGGCGCCAACCTTGTTTTGCCTACGTCGTGAGGTTGAATGCATGTCCCTACTAAGCCAATGAATTTTGTGCTTGCCTTCATGTTCGTTCCACCAAAATCGACACACCATGCTACTAATCTGGTCAAAAAGGACTTCGTCAGATCAAAACAACCCATTGCAAACTTTGGGATTAATTGTGCCACTATTTTAATCATGATCTTTTTGCCAGCCCACGCTAAGAATTCCTTCAACCCTTGTATTCCTTTTCCAAATCTTGTCTTTTAGATAAACAAACGTCCCAGCTTTCTATCTATACACGTGCACCGGGAGCCCCAAATGCTTCTCATTCATTGTTTCCCATGTGACCTGAAGATCACACACCTCCTTTTTTCGTTTTGCACCTTCATATTTCGGTTGAAAAGGACCGTTGATTTTGCCTTATTAATCGTTTGCCCCGAACATCTCATTCAAGTCAAGGATGTCTTGAAGCTGTTGAGCATCCCTCGTTCACACGAATCGGAATCAGTGAGTCATTGGCAAACAATAGATGTGATATACTCGGTGCAGCCTGACATAATTTTCACTCAGGCGATCAGCCCCTCTTGCTACGCCCTCTGCAGTAATGTTGTGAAGCCTTCCACGCAAAGAAGGAACAGATAGGGTGACAATAGATCGTCGTGTCTAAGTCCTCTCTCAAGTTTGAAGCCCTCTCATAGGTCCCAATCACTTTGATTCTTGTAGCGTCCCAAAAATTCAAATCTTAAAATCACTCGCTCAAAAATATTTTTAAAATCTATTTTGAAAACTAAAGTCATCTGAGCTCTATTTCTATGCCCCCGAACTCGCATCCTCCTCAAAGCCATTAGAGTTGCACCTCTCTTTGCACCCTTCTTCCGCACGCCACCACAAGAATATCCCCGGTCGTCCCCCACTGTTGGTGTTTTTGGACCACAGATGAGCAAATTTGTATTTGCGCGTCTGGCCCGGATTGTGTGCTCGGAGGACACAAGGGTTTATACTGGTTCGGGCGGAACGTCCCTACGTCCTGTTCGCTGTTGCTCGTGTTACCGGTACTTGATTTGCAGTAGGGGTTACAAACAGGCGATAGAGGGAAAGGATCCCAAGTCTCTGGTGGAGGGAGTGAACGGATGCTGAGAGCTCGATTGCTACTCAGCAGTGTGCTCATGTCGTGCTCTTGTATTTTTATCTCGTAGTTGGCCTCTGGTAGGGGTGCCCTGCTTCCCTTTTATAGGCGAAGGGAAAGCGCGGGTTACAGAGGAGGAAAAGGAGAAGAACGAGAGAGAGAAAGGCTTCCAGGATCGCCAGGTCCTTCTCCTTCATGCGGGTCCCACCGATCCTGTAGATGTCAACAGGGACGGCTCCACGTCGTGGCCCTATTCGTCACTGGTGCCATGCGCAGGCGTCATCTACCTGTCATGGCGTTCCATTCCGTCCTGGCGAACATCGTGGTGAACTGACGCGCCTGTCAGCGTTCGTACGAGGGTTAAACAGAACAGCACTGGCACGCCCGACACTGTTCTTGATGTGAATCCTCAGGTATGGCCCATCATGGCCACGGGTTAGATCGAGGCATGCCAGTCTCCTCCCTGGTGTTAGAGTTTTGACTTAGGCCCATACACTTGGATCTGAAATGGTTGGCGGCGGTATGGGTCACCATCAGACGAGATGGAGCCCGTGCCCAAGGGGTCGGGCGAGACGGAGCCCGCGCCCAAGGGGTCGGGCGAGATAGAGCCCGCGGCCTTGGGGTCGGGCGAGATGGAGCCCGCACCCAAGGGGTCGGGAGAGACGGATCCCATGGCCTTGGGCGAGACGAAAACCACGTTCTTAGGGTCGGGCGAGACAGAGCCCGCACCCAAGGATCGGACAAGACAGAGATCGCAGCCTTGGGCGAGACCCCCGTGGCCTCGAGGTCGAGCGAGACGTGAACCGCATCCTTGGGGTCGGGCGAGACAGAGCCCGCACCCAAGGGGTCAGGCGAGACAGAGCCCCGCGGCCTTAGGGTCGGGCAAGACGAAAACCGCGTCCTTGAGGTCGGGTGAGATGGAGCCCGCGCCCAAGGGGTCAGGCGAGACGGAGCCCCATGGCCTTGGGCGAGACCCCGATGCCTTGGGGGTCGAGCGAGGCCTTTTAATATGTCTTGCTCCATCCGGGGAAGTCAGCGTGGGTGCTAACTTCCTTGCTTTGGGTATCCCTACTATCGATACCCGACAGTAGCCCCCGAGCTTGCAGAGGAGTAGAATACTTCTTTGGAGGCTTTTTCGGATGGGAAGACTCTGAGGGCCTTGGCCTTCTTTTTGTAGCCCGCGACGTGTCCTGGTAGGATGGTGGTTCCCTTTTGTCGTGGTCGGTCTTCTTGGAGGCATGTAACCGTAGGATTCGAGAGGTTAGAAATATTTTTCTTGATTCCGGTCCCCTAGGATCTGATCGGTCCGTCGTTGTACTGCGACCGCGTGTTCGGTCTCCTTGTGAGTCCAACTTTCCTCGAGCCCCCATGCGTAGCAGGGGTCCGGTCGAGGGTCAGCTTGTCTTTGTGATCGTCGTCCCTCAAGCGTTTTTTTGATAAAACGGAGGGGCTGAGCCATGCCACATTTTCCCTCGACAGACAAAACATGGTGCTCGGTGAGCTGTTAACGGGCTAGTCTGAGTGGGGCCCTAGCTCCCCGTTCGTGGGGGTCGGCATGGGTCAGCTGGTGACCGACTCCAGATTCTTAGTGGTTAATCCATATAGTTCTCGAGTCCGTTCGACCGGTCCTAAGGGCCCGTTGCCTTTCTTCGAGGAAAGGCCATGGACTAGGAATCAACCAAGACTCGAATGTGGGTTGGGATGCCCGTGGCGCTCGTGCACCTAGGTACTGGCCGCTAGTGGGCCCATCCCTTTCCACCCCTTGCTCTTAGGGTGCCCTAGAGCGGCTGTGAACCCATCGGTGGGTCGGCCTTCGAACTCCTGGGCCTGAATGGGTTGTAGGAGGATTTTCAACTCTGTATCCCTCCTTACCTACGATGGTTCTTGGTCCATCGACTGGGTGAACCGTCATCCGGCATGTCCTTTGAGGGCGCGGACAGAGATTGCATGCACATAATCTTCGGAGGGAGATGATGTGACACGGCGTAGTGGGCGCGTGAATCTAGGTGGATGGTTCGCCTTCTCGCCCCGCTCTGCCTTATAAATAGCGGCCTCCCCTTTCATGTTTCTGCACACCAAAACCGCAACCTTACCTTCTCTGTTTCTTTACCGCCGCCATTCGGATTTGTCGTGCTTGCTAGTCCGTCGCTGGAGCCCTAGATCTGTAGCCTTCGCTCCTCCGCCACCGCCTTTGCTTCTCCGTAGCCGCCTTCATCCTCCATGGATTCATGGCATCACTTTGATGTTACCTATGCGCGCATGGAGGGCCTCGTCAAGCATGGTCTTCTCCATGGGAGGACCGATGCGGCGGAGTGGCTTGTGCCCAACCACGAGGAGGCGCCGGTGTCCCCGACGGCTACATTGTCTCCTTCATGCTCTTCCACGAGCATGGACTCGTGGTTCCTCCCCACCCATTCTTCTAGGGTCTGCTGCACCATTATTAGATCGAGCTACAGCACTTGAACCTCAATGGGATCCAGCACATCGTGGCCTTCATCATGATGTATGAGGGGTACCTGGGGATCGAGCCCTACTTCGAGCTATGGTGATATTTCTTCTCCATATCCTTGATGAAGAAGGAGAGAGGCTAGGAGACTCTAGTGCCGATGGGATGTGTGGGCATCCACCTTTGGGGGCAGCGGGTGGCTGAGTACATGCCCTGCCAGCTCTCTAGATCCAACAAGGGGTGGCACTCACATTGGTTCTACCTGAAGGATGACCCTGCCGCACTCTTGCCTATCTTCTCTAGGTGTTTGATCGAAGAGTTCCGCCGTCATGGCAGTGGCGGCCACCCATCAAGAAGAAGAGGATGCGTGACCTCCTCGAGGCCATCGTGCTCCTAAAGACCCACGGCCTTTGTGAGGCTAGCGTCATCAGGGGGTATCACGCGAGGAGGGTGGTGCCCCTGATGGTGCGCGTCCTCCCGCTGCACTGGATGATGCTCGGCACGTAGCTCATCGGGACGACGCTCGCCCAGGGGTTGCTCCATGACAGCGAGGTCACATAGCACATCAAGGAGGCCATGGGGGAGCCCGACGCCGTGTTCCCGATCCTAGGGCATCCCGTGATGTGGCCGGACGCGGGCTTCATTGAGCTGCCAGTGGGATTAGTCTTTCGGGACTCCATCACACCGCTACCAGATCACGCGGCCATGAGGGCGGCGAATCATGCCACGAATGAACAATAGAAGAAGAAGAAGGATGACGAGGAGAAAAAATGACAGTTGAAGCAGTGAGCGAAGCTGCAGCGAGGGAAGCGGCATCAAGGCTTGTTAGAAGAAGAGGAGGAAGAAGAAGAGGAGGATGAAGAGGATGATGGCTCCATGTCGCCTATCCTGTGGGATGATCCGATCGTCGGGGACGAGGACCCACCTTCA